ATATATATTTTCATCCGATTTAATGTAAATGGTGAACCAAAGTCCCTATATATTTTTCGATTTGTACAATATTGTGCATGAATTAAGTCTAGAATTATGTTTGTACTTAATTAAGTCTAGAATGATGTTTGCATAGTTGGAAATCTGTTCCGATTTAGATATACCTCCTATATATCTTTTCTTCCGATTGTGCACTAAAGACCCAAAGTTTGTCCGATTGTCACACAATTCTGTACAATGAACTGTAGTTAATAAAAATTATTCTCTGGCAAGTCTCTTTGAAATCGGTTCAGATTTATATATAAGTACACCAAACTCCTAATGTTTATCAGATATTTATCCAAATAATCAACGCGTGTCCTATTAAAATTTGCTTTAAATTGATTTACATAATTTTGTCCCATTGTAAGAACCATCTCTATATCTGACCAAATGAAGAGGTTGCAGAATGACATGTTTATGGATCCAATTTCATTTTACTGGTCCTTCAAAAATGCGACGTCTGATAGGATTCATCTGCTGAATATACCCAAAGTGGTGAAGGGTATCATATAGTCGGCCCGTCCGACTTTACTACTTTCCTTACTGGTTTAAAAATTATTTTTCGACAGACTAACAAGGCGTTGATTTTTTTAAAAGTTACTTTTCGACAGACTATAAAAACGTGGATTTAAAAAAAAATTCGAGAGACTACCAAGGCGTGGATTTTTTAAAAATTATTTTTCGAGTGTCTACCAAGGCGTGGATTTTTTAAAAATTATTTTACGAAAGACTACCAAGGCGTGGATTTTTTAAAAATAATTTTTCGAGAGACTACTGGCGTGGATTTTTTAAAAATAATTTTTCGAGAGACTACTGGCGTGGATTTTTTAAAAATTATTTTACGAAAGACTACCAAGGCGTGGATTTTTTAAAAATTATTTTACGAAAGACTACCAAGGCGTGGATTTTTTAAAAATTATTTTTCGAGAGACTACTGGCGTGGATTATTTAAAAATAATTTTTCGAGAGACTACTGGCGTGGATTATTTAAAAATAATTTTTCGAGGGACTACTGGCGTGGATTTTTTAAAAATTATTTTACGAAAGACTACCAAGGCGTGGATTTTTTAAAAATTATTTTTCAAGAGACTACTGGCGTGGATTTTTTAAAAATTATTTTTCGAGAGACTACTGGCGTGGATTTTTTAAAAATTATTTTTCGAGAGACTACTGGCGTGGATTTTTTAAAAATTATTTTTCGAGAGACTACTGGCGTGGATTTTTTAAAAATTATTTTTCGAGAGACTACTGGCGATAATTTTTCGAGAGACTACTGGCGTGGATTATTTAAAAATAATTTTTCGAGGGACTACTGGCGTGGATTTTTTAAAAATTATTTTACGAAAGACTACCAAGGCGTGGATTTTTTAAAAATTTTTTAAAGAGCACTTAATGAGGCATAGGCGTGGATTTTTTAAAAATTTTTTTTCGAGAGACTACTGGCGTGGATTTTTTAAAAATTATTTTTCGAGAGACTACTGGCGTGGATTTTTTAAAAATTATTTTTCGAGAGACTACTGGCGTGGATTTTTTAAAAATTATTTTTCGAGAGACTACTGGCGTGGATTTTTTAAAAAGTATTTTTCGAGAGACTACTGGCGTGGATTTTTTAAAAATTATTTTTCGAGAGACTACTGGCGTGGATTTTTTAAAAATTATTTTTCGAGAGACTACTGGCGTGGATTTTTTAAAAATTATTTTTCGAGAGACTACTGGCGTGGATTTTTTAAAAATTATTTTTCGAGAGACTACCAAGTGAGTACCAGTTGTAGGGTACCAAACTCAACAAATTTCAAAAATTAATATAAACGATTGTTGTTCGACGCTCGACATTTCAGAGTGTTTTAAAAACGTCAGTCATTCAGTTCATAGATATCAATTTGTGTGTGCGTTTTCCCATTTAGTGTGTGTGTTTCTGTCACATCCCTTGTGTGTATTTCGGGGATATTCATAGAAATTTGCACACATATTTTTTCACACAGCTATCATAGTTCACATAGAGATAATAGAATTGACATTACCATGCAGCTCATTAATGCAATGCAGCTCAGAAGTGAATGGCCTTAATTTTAGGACAAAAGCAAAGCACATGAATGATAACAGGGACTATAAAAAATATACGAATTGTTTTATAATCCTTGAATTCTCCTAATTTTTAGTTAGTGATATGAAATTTTGAGACCCCAACGATTGGTTTATCCGAAGCATACATCGGGTTCCTACGACTAAGGAGTCACATGCCATAATTTTTAAAGGCCCTTTCGAATCCTTCCTTCTCACCAAGAATTTCGATTAACAATACCATTCTAGCTCTGTTCAATTTTCGAACCTTCACCAGGGTGTTTGGTCATTTTGTCAATGAATGCCCAGAAAAATCAACTAAATTATTTAGAAATTTTGTTAGTTTTGCCATCCACTAACTGAATATTCAGTTTTCAAATATGTAGCCGAAGTAGCGATAGCAAAAAAAAACAACACGAATACGAACTATCAAGCGTATACACTTAGTTAGGTTCACAGGCATTTGTTGTCTTTGTATTTTAATTTTCACGCTCTGTTTGCTAGAATGACAGCATGATTGATTGTCTTGTATGGGGAATTGGACAGAGAGGCATGAAAGGACGACTAGTGGTAATCGATGGCTATCCAGAGTAAATTACTCATTCTAAAAATGAAAAAACCAACAAAAAGTTAAACAACAACAGCAAAAACTCCAAATAGTTGATTTGATTTTAAAAGGTATGACCGTGCTCGGATAGATTCATAATTAAATTTGGAAAATATATTTTTTAAATCAAATTCTAATGAAACACTTATATTTAAAATATTTTTACAGGGAATATCAGAAGCGTCCTGTCTCGTCTCCAGATTCACTCCAGTAGATGAGTAGACCGACCGAAGACAAAGATGAGCAGACCAAAGACATATTTTACGAGCTCCTAGAAACAGCATATGATCGCTGCCCTGGCCATGACATTAAAATTCTGCTAGGAGATTTTAATGCAATAATTGGAACGGACAATATCTTTGGCCCCACCTTCGGAAAATTCAGCCTTCATGAAGAAACATCCGACAACGGCATGAGGTTGATTGACTTCGCGGCAGCAAAAAACATGGTCGATAGCAGCACCCCATTCAAGCATCTCGATATACACAAGGCTACCTGGATTTCTTCTGATCAAGCAACGATAAATCTAATTGATCATCTTGTGATAGACGGAAGGCATTCATCCAGTGTATTAGACGTTCGATCGATACGTGGATCGAATATCGATTCGGACCAATACCTTGTAGCATCCAAGGTTCGCACCTGCCTTTACGTATCAGCAAACATCCGACAACGGCATGAGGTTGATTTACTTTGCGGCAGCAAAAAACATGGTAGTTAGCAGCACCCCATTCAAGCATCTCGATATACACAAGGCCACCTGGATTTCTCCTGATCAAGCAACGAGAAATCAAGTTGATCATCTTGTGATAGACGGAAGGCATTCATCCAGTTTATTAGACGTTTGATCCATACGTGGAGCGAATATCGATTCGGAACAATACCTTGTAGCATCCAAGGTTCGCACCAGCCTCATTGTATCAGCAAAGGTGCGATGTAATGTAACACGGAAACTCGACGTCGAAAGGCTGCAAACACAACTGCTAGACGAAAGCACTCCTTGTCCCGATAATAATATAGAAGCACAATGGCAGAGCAGTTTTTAACATCCTGAAAAGGTTATACGAGAGGCAAAGGTGAATAGAAATGACACTCCGTACACCAAACAATACATTTTACTCGCCTACGCCGATAACATCATCATAATGGATCGAACATTGAGAGCGGTAACAGCCACCTTTGAACAAATTGAAAAGGAGTCTGCCCAAGTGGGTCTGGCGGTAAACGGCGAGAAGACCAAACTGATGGTATCAACGTGCAAGACGTCCAGTAGACTCGGACCAACTGTGGAATTTGAGAACTACAGCTTCGAGGTAGTGCAAGACGTTATATACCTTGGTACCGCCATAAATAAAACTAACGACTTCAATTTTTAAATTCGGAGAAGTATAGTGATGGCCAACCGATGCTACTATGGTCTGAGTAAGCAACTCAAAATCAAGGCCACCTCAAGCCAGACCAAACTCACACTCTACAAGACGCTGATACTACCCGTGCTGTTATACGGATCTGAAGCATGGGTACTTACGCAAGCAGATGAGGCAGCTCTTGGAGTGTTTGAGAGAAAAATTCTCTAAAAGATCTATGGGCCGATCTGCGTTGACGGTGAATATCGCCGTCGAATGAACCATGAGTTGTACCAGCTATTCTCGGACATCGGCTTTGTTAGACGTATTGAGCTGCAGCGACTACGTTGGCTAGGTCATATTGTGTGAATGGGTGAATATGCCCTAGCCCAAAAGGCATATAAAAGCGAACCTGCTGATGGTTCACGCAGAAGGGGAAGGCCGCGAATAAGGTAGATAGATCAAGTGGAGGACAAAATTGCCAAATATGATCTTCAAACTGGAAAAACTGCGCAAAAGACCGGCACGCCTAAAAATCTTTTTTAAGCTCGGCTTATGGAACGCAAGATCTGTCACAAGCCAGCTAAGTAAGTAAAGTTATTTGAAGCGTGGATTTATTAAAAATAGGTTTAGAGGGACTACTAGAGCTTGGATCTATTAAAAATAGTTTTAGAGGGACTACTAGAACTTGGATCTATTAAAAATAGTTTTAGAAGGACTACTAAAGCTTGGATCTATTAAAAATAGTTTTAGAGGGACTACTAGAACTTGGATCTATTAAAAATATTTTTTAGACGGATGAAAAGCTATTGCAGCTATAAAATCTTTTTACTGCGAAAACTTTTTATTGTTCACTTCCGATTCTTATTCTTTGATGCCTTGGATACAAACGTGTTTATTGTATTTATAATTTAATTAATTTTTTTTTCTGTAAATTTATATAAAATTATATCCACAATGGATCCTTCATAAATTCCAAATTTATGTCATCCTTACATTCTAATGTCAACATATTGGGATTAAAGGACATGTTCTTCACTGTCTGAGGACACTGGCGTATTTCGTAGTTTTTAAGAAAATATAAAACACCCACTTTAGATATTAATAAACCCAAACGGCCGCCCATACAACTACGGGGTCCCAAACCGAATGGCAAATAGGCATATGGGGATATACCCTCCTTATTTTGTAGAGAAAAACGTTCAGGGTCGAAGACTTCAGGGTTTGGCCAATACTACAATAAAACAGGGAGAATACTCAAATATTTTCAAAAAATAACAAAAAAAGTCAAGCAAACACTCACCAACGGATCACGATGTATGGCATAATTCGAAATAAATATCGGCATACCATTTGGTATTTTAAAATCATGATAGGGTTTCAGTGAAAATTCCTGATCACGAGCATTGTGTTTACGTTCCAAGAAGGCCACAGCAGGATATAAACGTAAACTTTCACGCATTACCATATCGAGATATTCCATAGATTTTAGAGCATCATAGCTAACCGCACCCTTTCCCGCCAGCAATACTTGTTTAATTTCCTTTCGCAGTCTTTGTTGCAATTCAGGATATTTGGCCAATTGGTAGAGAGTAAAGGCTATAGCCGATAATGATGTTTCATAGCCGGCAACAATAAAAACAGCACCCTGAGCCAATATGGCATCTATGTAAAGATCTTTATCACGGATATCCTTATTTTCCTTGGCCTCTTTGACCAAACGTATCAAAGTATCAATTAAATCGTTACGTTCTTGTCCTGATTTTACTCTCTCATCCATAACGTGTTTAAGGCAGGCTCGTAAGAAGGTATCATAATTCTTGCGAAACATTTGTGCCCGTATGTGCTTTGAAAGTTTGGGTAGGAGAAACATAACAAAATGTTCATGGGCTGGTATATTTTGATGATTATTGTAGTTTTGAGAGGCAAATTCGCTGTAGGGATTTTGAAAACTACAAACATTTATGCCATAGCCAGTCGAGGCAATTGCATCGGTTGTAAAGAGACCGCATATGGATTTTACTTCTGCTACAAATTTGTCACCCTTTTTAAGTAAATATTGCTCCAATTCATCGCCGATCTGAAAATAAACAATGATTATTACAATAAAATTATTAAAAAGGAATGGCATGTATGTCTGTCTAGTTATGTATTTTTGATATCAGAGGTAAATTTTTAATAAATCTTTTATTTGGTCCCAGAATAAACCCTTGCTAATGGTGCCTGAATGACGAAAAATTTAAAATTTAGCATAGGCTTGGTTTGGGCCAAAGTTTTTGCCATTTTATTTGTTAGTGTGTAGAAAATACTCTCTCCTTTAACGATATTTACAACACTGTGACATAAAATCGAAGTCAAAGTCTGGAGGGTGGGACACTCCTTGTAGAGTATATTAAGAACCTAGAAGGACAAATTCGATATTGGTCAAGATTTTGAGTTACGGCTTGATGATTTTTTTTGCCGTAAATTCTAAAGGTCTGAAAATGAAAGCTTTGTATCTTTGTTTGAGACTATTGGAGGTTATTTTTGAAATTTTATTTCTGCAGTCAAATCGAATGCGGAATACTTTTGTAAAATATATCCCACTTCTATCTCCAGTCCTTGTGCATATTTTTGTTCCTTTTCACTTGAAACTAAATCAACCACAATACGAGATTTGTTGACTTCCAAATATTCTGCAAAGATGTCGCTCATAAAATTTTAGATGAGACCTCCAAAAGCAGGAAATCGATATTAGCATGTTCTCATCGTCATTTTCCATTTAAACTCGATCCCTGCTAAGAACTCTAATTAACTTCTACGAACATTAATACATTCCGAAAAAATAATAACTGTATTCGGATTCACCTGAACTATTTACCAACATTTAATTGCGAAGGACAGATCGAGATAGCAACATTTTACAATCTAATTTTCAGATAATAAACCCGATATGATTTGAAAGCAAAATATATTGTCAATCACGTGAAATAATTTATGTAATCTGCTCTAAATTGATATAACTGATAACAAATCATGGGTTCATGGTGTTGATGTAGAAACCATGACTCACTCATTTTTTCGAAAGTAGGGAGCTTGTGTATCATACGGTATTGCCTAAGGGTCGTACTGCAATAAAAATCGACTTCATGCAAAATATACATCATTTGCACTGAGGAACCCACCAACGAAATATAAATTTTGTGTACCAAGTTTTAGTCAAACTCAGCAATGACTTCCTAGACTGACTGGGATATTGGTTGAAAACCCAAATATATATATATATATACTCCTCATCAGAAATAACTTCTACATCGATGTATCTTTTTGATTGAGCTCAATTTTTTAGGTTGAGCACTAAACCAAGTACAATAATGTCAATCGGTGTAGCCGACAGATAAATACCCTCAGCCTATGGTATGCAGAGGTCTTCGACTACAAATTGTCTGATACGGATTTGCTCCAAAGCAAGATGGGGTCTAAATCCTTATTTCGAAGCGACACATTTTTCCGTATCAAAGGGTATATACACTCATTAGCCATACGGCTAAGGGTATAATTAAGACACACATTGCTAATACTCCCAGTAAGTTCGATATTGCAAATGTGATATATAGATTCACGACTTGCCATAGCCCCCCATTTTATCCACATTTTCCGATCGAAGTGGGTGTAATTTGGTATTTCGGGTTCTTCGAAACTGATATATTAGGTTGGGAAAAAGGAAATCCATAATTTGTGTACGAACTATAGGACTTTATTCTACAATGTCCGATTTGGGCAAATGTGCACCGTTTTGTTGTATGTTTTTTTGATATTTTAAAAGTAACTTCATAATCCCTCTCTCATAGAAGTCCTGCTCTCTATTTGCAAAAAAGCTCTAGTAGTCGATTTTCACAATCCTCCCTAGATACCAATTATTTATCATTACAGATATTTTGCAATGCAAGAATAAGATGATAAACCAGTGAGCGGAGCAGTATAGTCGGACGGGGCCGACCATGCGATACCCTACACAACTACCACGAACTCTAACTTTCTGAGGATGTTTATTCCGAGTCTGAGTAATATTTCGTGATATTTGTGTGGTCCGATTAGAGGTTAACAACACCTCTTCCTTACTTTTTTCGAATATTCAGTACAGTCCTTCTAATTACTTGTCCAGATTACCTTCACGGTGGGTTGTGTTGTGATTTTCGGATTATACTCTACTCGACTATACTATACTCGAAAACACACAAAAAATTATGTTTTCGCTCCATTTCATCCCAAAATTTTAATCTGATCATCACCGAAAATTGTAGGCGTTGTTCTTGACCATAACTGGAACTTCATGAAAAATGTCAAAGCCATCAGCGCGATATTTCTCCCTCTCTGTGGTAATGGGTTACTGAATAATATCTGAATACGTAAGCACCTGTAAATATTTGACTGTAACTCCCACATCTGAGTAGATACATCACTATATTTGGTATCAATTTAAAGGCCAACCACTCCTCTTGGATATGCTATCAACTCCTGGGGTCTACATCCTCCAGGAGTAAATATGTATGCCATAGAATACAAATTTTGTCATTTTTCACACAAAAGTCAGGGTCCATTTGACCCGCTAAATATTGACCGATCTTTATCAAAACATGCATGCTTATTCTCTGACCCGATCCCCTTCTCCATGCAAAAATTCGCGGTGTTTGGGCCATAATTGCGGCCTCTGGAGCGACCAGAAAAACCGACAAAAATTTAGTATTTGGTCCATTTCATCCCCTAAATATTAACCGATCTTTTCCAAAAACAATAGGCGTCTTCATTGGCCAGAACCCATCCTACATGCAAAATTTCGTGAAGATTGGTCCATAACTGTGGCCTGTATCGTGTTTACAAATTATAATGGACAGACGGACGGACGGACGGACGGACGGACACACATGTCTAGATCGACTCAGCTAGTCGAGATATGACGATCGGTATACTTAAAGGTGGGTCTAGGACCAATATTTCGCGGCGTTACAAACATTTGGGGCTGCACAAAGCTATAATACCCTGACAACATAGTTGTGTAGGGTATAAAAAGATGATGAAGATGAAAGATAGTGCCAAGTCCGGACTGTATGGCGGATGCATTAAAACATTCCAAACCAAGCTCCCGAAGTTCCTGGTGAGTCACTGTAGATGTGTGTGGCCTTGCGTTGTCCTAGTGGAATACGACACCTCCCCGGTTGGCCAACGCTGGCCATTGCTATCATCAAACGGTTCAGTTGTTGACAGTAGAGATCAGAATTTAACGTTTAGCTAAATATGAAAGCAACTCACAAAAAATAGTCCCCTTCCAGTTCCAACAAATGCATAGTATAACCTTCCTAGCCGTTAGTCCTGGTGTGGCCACCGTTTGAGGTGTTTCACCGCTCTCTGACCAGGATATTTTTCGCGAAGGGTTATCGTATGTGATCCATTTGTCATCTCCAGTCACCATCCGTTTAAGAAATGGGTATATCAATCCCAATCCAAGGCTTCGCAAATGAAAATTCGATCCATCCTATTTTTTTCTGTTAATTGGTGTGGCACCCAAACATCGAGCTTTTTTAATCCATCTTTGTGTAAATGGTTTAAAACAGTTATATGGTCGATTTTTAGCTCCTGGGAGATGTTACGACTGTTAACATGCCGGTCAACTTCGATCATTTCTCCGATTTTATCGACATTTTGGACGACCCAACCTAATATATCTATGCCGAAAATTATCAATATAGGTTCATGTTTCCACATAGCCGCCATATGAACTTCTAACCTCATTTTGTGGCAGCAGTTTGGCCGGGTTCGTGGAGGGTGCGAAACATACTTGCAGAAGAATTTGAAAAAGTCCAGCACCATGTTCGGTATTTTAAAGGTTTAAATCGAAATTGCTGTAAATTGACACTTTTTGGAAAGACTTTTTTGAATATGTTCCTTTTTTAACATAGCACCCATGTAAAGGTCCTGTCCTTTTTAACATTTTACAGGCCTTAGGCGCATTTTCAAACCGAAGTCACTTTAAATTGGCATTACGTGTTCATGGAGGGCAAAAAACATTTCTGCAAGAAAATGTTCGGTATCGATCGATGTTTTAGGGTTAAAAAAAAAAGTTGGAACTATATTCAATATTTTCAAAATTTTAAACCGAAGTGACTGTAATTTGATTTAAGATATATATAATATAATGCTTTGACATGGTCTCTACATAAGGCCTCACTCTATTTTCGGGGTTTTAAAGGACTTAGCGGCAATTTACATCGAAGTGTCTGTAGTGTAGTTTTGCGGGTTCTATAGCGGGTTTGCCTTTTTTGGATTTTTCAATGTATCATCCGCATTTGCAACCAACGGCATTTGAATAAAAACTAATTCTTTCAGAAAATTTTCGCTTTAGGTTGATCTAAAAAGGTCCCACATAATTGTCCGTATGTTGAAGTTAATAGTCCTGTTTTCCAACCTGAGTCTATTGTAAAAATTTTGCTATAAACTAGTTTCCACAATATGGAGTGTATGCAAAGGGACCAATTCGAACATAAGTTGGAGTATATTTTTTTGTTATTTCAATTTTGCCTAGTCGAGCTTGATGATCTAAGTTTTGCAAATGAAAAGGAAAACCAGAGAAGAACCTACGTACCCACCATTATGCGACGCGCTTCGCTGTTGGTTAAGCGGCTCATCAGGCATATTGGGCTATGTGGCTTTACAAAGGTCGTACGTATTTAACTTGTATTTATTCCGCCCTGGTGCGAAACTTGCATATGCGAATTAAATTCAAATTTGTCAAAGTTCGACATTTGTCTTCATTCTAGGAACAGCCCTTTTCAAATCAGATTTTTATACCCTACACAACTATGTTGTCAGGGTATTATAGCTTTGTGCAGCCCCAAATGTTTGTAACGCCGCGAAATATTGGTCCGAGACCCACCTTTAAGTATACCGATCGTCATATCTCGACTAGCTGGGTCGATCTAGACATGTGTGTCCGTCCGTCTGTCCATTATAATTTGTAAACACGATACAGGCCACAGTTATGAACCAATCTTCACGAACTTTTGCATGTAGATTGTTTTTGGAAAAGATCAGTTAATATTTAGGGGATGAAATGGACCAAATACTAAATTTTTGTCGGTATTTCTGGTCGCTCCAGAGGCCGCAATTATGGCCCAAACACCGCGAATTTTTGCATGGAGAAGGGGATCGAGCCAGAGAATAAGCATGCATGTTTTGATAAAGATCGGTCAATATTTAGCGGGTCAAATGGACCCTGACTTTTGTGTGAAAAATGACAAAATTTGTATTCTATGGCATATATATTTACTCCTGGAGGATGTAGACCCCAGGAGTTGATAGCATATCCAAGAGGAGTGGTTGGCGTTTAAATTGATACCAAATATAGTGATGTATCTACTCAGATGTGGGAGTTACAGTCAAATATTTACAGGTGCTTACGTATTCAGATATTATTTAGTAACCCATTACCACATTAGAGGGAGAAATATCGCGCTGATGGCTTTGAAATTTTTCATGAAGTTCCAGTTATGGTCAAGAACAACGCCTACAATTTTCGGTGATGATCAGATTAAAATTTTGGGATGAAATGGACCGAAAACATAATTTTTTGTGTGTTTTCAAGTAGAGTATAATCCGAAAATCACAACACAACCCACCGTGAAGGTAATCTGGACAAGTAATTAGAAGGACTGTACTGAATATTCGAAAAAAGTAAGGAAGAGGTGTTGTTAACCTCTAATCGGACAAGAGGGGGCAAATATCACGAAATATTACTCCGACTCGGAATAAACATCCTCAGAAAGTTAGAGTTCGTGGTAGTTGTGTAGGGTATCGTATGGTCGGCCCCGTCCGACTATACTGCTCCGCTCACTGGTTTATATTATTATTATTAAATTTATCATACCGTCAATCCGGAATATTCGTCGGAGACCCCATAAAGAAAATGTAGTTTTTGATATGTTCCAATCACGAAAAAAATATTTGTAAGATAGAGTTCCATATATTTCCCCTATTTTAAAAAAGAGAGTGTTTAACTTTTGCTTCAGTTTACATATACAGCGAGATCTAACATTACTCATAAAAGTGAACGAGAAAATTTCCTACAAAAAAATTGTACAATATACACTTTTTAAAGAGCATTTGTCTATGAGAGGACCGCTTTGAAAAATATTATGGAAATTTACTTAGTATTTCATATTTACTTAGAATATAAATAAGATCAATATTACTACGACCACTGTGACCTGAAAAATTTTATGTATATACACTTTTAACGAAAAATCGCCAAGGTTACCAAAATCTAAATTCTCATTCATATAATATCGAACCTTACCTCTGTCAACAGCGGAAACATCAACTTCAATTTACCATTGGTGAAAGTGGGTGCCAATTTCTTTCGCATATCACGCCATATATCGTATTTGGCAAAGAATAAATTCAACGAACCAAAACGGTCGACACTTTCATCGATGCGACAATAGCGATCATGGAAATTATAAAACTCCTTAATCAGAATCGATTTGATAAGCAGAGGTTCTCGAATAACCAATGCCGGTTGATGCAAGACAAAAATGCCCACAACAGGTTCCTTTTCCATACCCCGATAATTATACATATCGGCAATGTGCAAAGCTACATTTTTCTCCATTTTAAAAACATCTTTAAGGGTACCAATTATCGGTAGTGGCTTCACGTATGGTATACCATGTCGTTTCCAATAGGTATAGGTGCGACGACACCATATAGCGAACAGGATAATTGCAGATATAAATAAATATTCAAAAGCCATATTTGCTTAATTTTTATTGATTCTGAATTTACTGTGTTAGCTGTGGCCAATGGTATAAAATCGACTAAATTATCTCTAATGAAATTGTAAAAAATCTTGTATTTTTTCAAATGAATTGCATATCAATGACTCATTTACCTTGACTTACTTCGGCCATTAAAAGCTTTATAAATTATATGGAATATAATTTGCACTTTGTGATAATCAACAAAAGCAGAATACAGATGCACATTAAAGAGGCTATTAATATGTAGATCCATAAGTTCAACGACCTCAGACTATACACGTTTCAGATCGTGTCTAACATTGTAGGGAAGGTTCCTTGGAAAATTTCTTTAAAAAATCCTCGCGTATTGTTGGGACGGTTCCTTAGAAAAATTCTTTAAAAAATCCTCGCGTATTGTTGGGACGGTTCCTTAGAAAAATTCTTTAAAAAATCCACGCCTATTGTTGGGAAGATTCCTTAGAAAAATTCGTTAAAAAATCCACGCCTATTGTTGGGAAGATTCCTTAGATGAATTCTTTAAAAAATCCACGCCTATTGTTGGGAAGATTCCTTAGAAAAATTCGTTAAAAAATCCACGCCTTTTGTTGGGAAGATTCCTTAGATGAATTCTTTAAAAAATCCACGCCTATTGTTGGGAAGATTCCTTAGAAGAATTCTTTAAAAAATCCACGCCTATTGTTGGGAAGATTCCTTAGAAAAATTCTTTAAAAAAATCCACGCATATTGTTGGGAAGATTCCTTAGAAAAATTCTTTAAAAAAATCCACACCTATTGTCGGAAGATTCCTTAGAAAAATTCTTTAAAAAAATCCACGCCTATTGTTCGGAAGATTCCTTAGAAAAATTATTTAAAAAATTCACGCCTATTATTGGGAAGGTGTGTGAGAAAAATTATTTAAAAAAATCCACGCCTATTATTGGGAAGGTGTGTGAGAAAAATTCTTTAAAAAAATCCACGCCTATTATTGGGAAGGTGTGTGAGAAAAATTCTTTAAAAAAATCCACGCCTATTATTGGGAAGGTGTGTGAGAAAAATTCTTTAAAAAAATCCACGCCTATTATTGGGAAGGTGTGTGAGAAAAATTCTTTAAAAAAACGCCTCCACGCCTATTGTTGGGAAGGTGTGTGAGAAAAATTCGTTTAAAAAATCCACGCCTATTGTTGGGAAGGTGTTTGTGAGTTTCTTTAAAAAATCCACGCCTAAAAATTTGTTGGGAAGGTTTAAAAAATTCACGCCTATTGTTGTTGGGAAGGTGTGTGTGAGAAAAATTCGTTTAAAAAATCCACGCCTATTGTTGGGAAGGTTTGTGAGAAAAATTCGTTTAAAAAATCCACGCCTATTGTTGGGAAGGTTTGTGAGAAAAATTCGTTTAAAAAATCCACGCCTATTGTTGGGAAGGTTTGTGAGAAAAATTCGTTTAAAAAATCCACGCCTATTGTTGGGAAGGTTTGTGAGAAAAATTCGTTTAAAAAATCCACGCCTATTGTTGGGAAGGTTTGTGAGAAAAATTCGTTTAAAAAATCCACGCCTATTGTTGGGAAGGTTTGTGAGAAAAATTCGTTTAAAAAATCCACGCCTATTGTTGGGAAGGTTTGTGAGAAAAATTCGTCTAAAAAATCGACGCCTATTGTTGGGAAGGTTTCTTTAAAAAATCCACGCCTATTGTTGGGAAGGTTTGTGAGAAAAATTCGTTTAAAAAATCCACGCCTATTGTTGGGAAGGTTTGTGAGAAAAATTCGTTTAAAAAATCCACGCCTATTGTTGGGAAGGTTTGTGAGAAAAATTCGTTTAAAAAATCCACGCCTATTGTTGGGAAGGTTTGTGAGAAAAATTCGTTTAAAAAATCCACGCCTATTGTTGGGAAGGTTTGTGAGAAAAATTCGTTTAAAAAATCCACGCCTATTGTTGGGAAGGTTTGTGAGAAAAATTCGTTTAAAAAATCCACGCCTATTGTTGGGAAGGTTTGTGAGAAAAATTCGTTTAAAAAATCCACGCCTAGTGTTGGGAAGGGTTGTGAGAAAATTTCGTTTAAAAAATCCACGCCTATTGTTGGGAAGGTTTGTGAGAAAAATTCGTTTAAAAAATCCACGCCTATTGTTGGGAAGGTTTGTGCTCCAGAAAAATTCGTTTAAAAAATCCACGCCTATTGTTGGGAAGGTTTGTGAGAAAAATTCGTTTAAAAAATCCACGCCTATTGTTGGGAAGGTTTGTGAGAAAAATTCGTTTAAAAAATCCACGCCTATTGTTGGGAAGGTTTGTGAGAAAAATTCGTACACCTTCCCAACAATAGGCGTGGATTTTTTAAACGAATTTTTCTCACACACCTTCCCAACAATAGGCGTGGATTTTTTAAACGAATTTTTCTCACACACCTTCCCAACAATAGGCGTGGATTTTTTAAACGAATTTTTCTCACACACCTTCCCAACAATAGGCGTGGATTTTTTAAACGAATTTTTCTCACACACCTTCCCAACAATAGGCGTGGATTTTTTAAACGAATTTTTCTCACACACCTTCCCAACAATAGGCGTGGATTTTTTAAACGAATTTTTCTCACACACCTTCCCAACAATAGGCGTGGATTTTTTAAACGAATTTTTCTCACACACCTTCCCAACAATAGGCGTGGATTTTTTAAACGAATTTTTCTCACACACCTTCCCAACAATAGGCGTGGATTTTTTAAACGAATTTTTCTCACACACCTTCCCAACAATAGGCGTGGATTTTTTAAACGAATTTTTCTCACACACCTTCCCAACAATAGGCGTGGATTTTTTAAACGAATTTTTCTCACACACCTTCCCAACAATAGGCGTGGATTTTTTAAACGAATTTTTCTCACACACCTTCCCAACAATAGGCGTGGATTTTTTAAACGAATTTTTCTCACACACCTTCCCAACAATAGGCGTGGATTTTTTAAACCAATTGGATTTTTTAAACGAATTTTTCTCACACACCTTCCCAACAATAGGCGTGGATTTTTTAAACGAATTTTTCTCACACACCTTCCCAACAATAGGCGTGGATTTTTTAAACGAATTTTTCTCACACACCTTCCCAACAATAGGCGTGGATTTTTTAAACGAATTTTTCTCACACACCTTCCCAACAATAGGCGTGGATTTTTTAAACGAATTTTTCTCACACACCTTCCCAACAATAGGCGTGGATTTTTTAAAGAAACCTTCCCAACAATAGGCGTGGATTTTTTAAACGAATTTTTCTCACACACCTTCCCAATAATAGGCGTGAATTTTTTAAATAATTTTTCTCACACACCTTCCCAATAATAGGCGTGAATTTTTTAAATAATTTTTCTAAGGACACACCTTCCGAACAATAGGCGTGGATTTTTTTTTAAATATTTTTTTCAAGCCTCAACAATAGGTGTGGATTTTTTTTTTATGACGTTCTGAACAATATGCGTGGATTTTTTTAAAGAATTTTTCTAACACATCTTCCCAACAATAGGCGTGGATTTTTAAACGAATTTTTCTCACACACCTTCCCAACAATAGGCGTGGATTTTTTAAAAGAATTTAGTACACACATCTTCATAACAATAGGCGTGGATTTTAACCGAATTTTTCTCACACGCCTTCCCAACAATAGGCGTGGGTTTATTAAAGAATTTTTCTAACACACCTTCCCAACAATAGGCGTGGATTTTTTAACGAATTTTTCTACACATCTTCCCAACAATAGGCGTGGATTTTTTAAAGAATTTTTCTACACACCCAACAATACGCGAGGATTTTTTAAAGAATTTTTCTCACACACCTTCCCAACAATAGAACCGTCCCAACAATACGCGTGGATTTTTTAAAGAATTTTTCCAAGGAACCTTCCCAACAATACGCGTGGATTTTTTAAAGAATTTTTCCAAGGAACCTTCCCAACAATGTTAGACACGATCTGAAACGTGTATACTCTGAGGTCGTTGAACTTATGGATCTACATATTAATAGCCTCTTTAATGTGCATCTGTATTCTGCTTTTGTTGATTATCACAAAGTGCAAATTATATTCCATATAATTTATAAAGCTTTTAATGGCCGAAGTAAGTCAA